TGCACAAGATATTCTCAAAAGTTTTCTAGGCTGTCAATTTTTTTTTCCACCAGAAACTACCACCTCATTGAGTCAAACCACAAGTTCACCTAACCCCGTACCCTGCCTTTTAACAGTCAGTGATCAATAGCATCTGTCTTGGGGAGAACATGAAGAACAGGGGAACTTGCTGTGGTACTGTTCCAACAATCTGCAGCTCAGAAGTTTTCTGAGTTGAAGGTGATGAACTGTTAAACACACAGATGTCTTGGATATCTCTCTTGTTAGTTATGTGAGTTCAGAAAGATTTGTTAGCGTCCATGGAAACCTAAATTTCGTAGCTTACCTAGGTGGTGTTCAGGGGAAAAAATGGACTTTTAAAGGAAGCCTGTATCCTGATGATTTAATTTGATGTCCCTAGTTCTAATAGTATGGGAAAATAAGTAATTGTTCCTTGTTTATTTCTTCTGTTCCTTACAGACTGTAGACCTCTCTTGTTCTACATCAATCATTTCTTCTTGAGGTTGAAGAATCTTAGCATACCTCACCATGTTCAACCTCACCTCTCTTAAGAAAAGTTTCTCTAGTGGAGGTCAACCTAATTGCCTGCCTTTACCCCTCTTTTGCCTTTTTGAGCTACAGAGAACAAAATGCAGATGTACTATCAACTTGCATCTTGGTATAATGATGCCCTCTGTGCTGCTCTTACTCCATCCCTGATGACTTTTCTAAATAATGTGTGAATACACTGAGGTGTACAGATGATAGAACTGCTTCCTGATGATTTCTCTTGAATGTCAAAACTGACAGTTTATTCCTATTTCCTTTCTTTTTAAACAGTTGCTGGTCCAGACGAATGGTTTCCCCATGTCTTCTGTCAGTTTATTTTTTTCAAGAACCTTTGGTGTTGAGCATTGTTAGATCTTTTTGGAAATTCAGATAGACTTTCTTTGTGGGTTTGAGGTGTGTGAATGAGACAGAAGATGCACAACAGAATTAAGACAACCTTTTTGTTTTGAATGTATGTGAAAAATATACTAGTTTTTATGCATTCAGAAAAATTGTTACTATAAATCTCCTGGTTTGTGATTTTTACGTTTAATTTGCAGGGTACTTGTGTGACTTGCTCATTTGCTCATGACTTCAGCCTGTTGAAGGATGCCTTCTTTTAGTGATGTCCTTCATTGGCTCTTTTGTCATTGTGGTCTTTCTGAAAAGATACGTTTCTGAAATGACAGCTATTTGTCTACCTAGGTACAATCATTTAAAATACTGTTGTGAAAGATTTGAATGTTGTATATCGGGGAGAATGGGAGAAGATCTCCTTCAACATATCTCACTGAAACACTGTAATATTGAAAATTATATGTGAGTACTAATTTGGTACAACTAAATATTTATAGTGTTTCAGCAGGAGACCATCCCACATTAGACTTCATTTTAATGTAGTTTCAAAAAGCTTGTGTTTTTCCAAATAAACTGCTGCAACTGGGTTAATAATGCCCATGCTACTATATTTTTAAGAAAAAAAGACCTGTTTAAGCAGCTGGTGTCTACTAGAAGCATGTGCGAGAGTGGAATGCTTATGGAAAAATTTTAGCTTAAAAGTACCCTGAAGACATCAGCATCTAAATTTCCTTTATTATTTATTTGAAGAGGTTCTGACACCCACCAGCAAATGGGATCGGTGAATGTGCTTTCCGTGCATGGTCCCTGTCCATTGAACTGATATCCAAAATGTCAGGAAACTTCCTTCTTTCCCTGTGGAAAATTAGACAGCGCTTATGTGGGGGAGCTTAATATTAGAGTATCCCGCTACAGAGAAAATGATCTTAAGTGCTTTCTTAGATCATTTGAGAACAGGGCAGATGCTTTTCTTCAACAAAAATGAGTAGTACTTAAAAATGAGGTAATCCACCTAGTAAAATGAGGGGTAAGGTTCACAGTGTTACTGCTTTTTCTGTTACCTACCTGGATGACTTAGATTAAAAATAAGCCAAACCCCTTTATTTTTTACACTGTCATCTTTATGTCTTTACCGAAAAGACTTCAGATTTTTTTTTTTTTTTGCTGGAGCTTGCAGTAACCGCAGGGGTGCCTGCACAGGAAATGGAAACTTTCTTGCATGTGCTGGAGGAGAGGCTGTGACACGGGTTGTGTAGGTGGCATTGCTGGCGTGAAGTTCTGCCTCTCGGCAGGAAGAACGTACCTCCTCTGCTCCCCTCCTGAATGGGGCTGGTCAGGGAGAAAAGGTCAGGTTACCAAACTTCAAATGGAAATGATCTGCACACATAGCCAACTGCTGTTGGTTGCACGGTTAGTGAAAGAGAAGGGTGACTTTGGTTTTTCATATTGCCTTTGGGGTTGTTTTTGTCACCTCTTTCTTTTGATCAGTTGTGTAGTAGACATGGAAGAAGTAAAGGGCGAGGTCCTCCGAGCCCAGCTCGTTAACCAAGGCGGTTCTTTGTTTCGATGCACATCCTTGTATCAGAGGGTGGGTGAACCGCTGTGCTGGCGTTGCACAATTCCCCTCTCGCTGGTGATAGTTGCGTGTACGGCAGGACTGGAATGTGCTGCTGCGGCCCTTCTTCCCCAGCCTGCTTTTCTTGACTGGAGCACCTCTCCTATGAGGACAGGCTGAGGGAGTTGGGCTTGTTCAGCCTGGAGAAGAGAAGGCTGCGGGGAGACCTGATTGCGGCCTTTCAGTACCTAAAGGGGACCTATAGGAAAGATGGGGAAAATCTTTTTAGTAGGGCCAGCAGTGACAAGACAAGGGGTAATGGTTTTAAACTAAACCAGGGTAGGTTTAGACTAGATATAAGGAAGAAGTTCTTTACAATGAGGGTGGTGAAACACTGGAACAGGTTGCCCAGAGAGGTGGTGGAGGCCCCATCCCTGGAAACATTCAAGACCAGGTTGGACGGGGCTCTGAGCAACCTGATCTAGTTAGCGGTGTCCCTGCTCCCTGCAGGGGGGTTGGACTAGATGACCTCTAGGGGTCCCTTCCAACCCAAAACATTCCATGATTCTATGATTCTATGACTCGCGTGTGTGCCTAGAACAGGGAGCAGGCAGCACTCGGCTGCGCAGTAGCAAGGGCTTGTTCCTTGGCTCTTGCTGCTGAAGAATAAGCTTGCTTGCCTCTCCTTGCTTTATTCCTGTTGACTGGACATTTGTAGTTCTTTTCTAGTAGAATATTTGTTTCCCGAGCTGGATGTTTTCGCTGCCAGTTTTTAAGTGTGGAAAAAAATACCAAAAAGACATCTGCCCCACAAGTGGCATTGCACTGGAAATGTAAAGTGTTGCAGTTCTTGGAGAAGAAAAAGGGAAAAGGAATGAAAAGGGAGATGAATTTCTCTATGCATGGTGGGGGAATATGCTTCCATGTTATCTTCAGCATGTGGCTCTCCTCATGTTCTTTCTTCTTTTCTTTACAGAGAAAGAAAAATGCATCATTAGATTTAACTAGGAATTTGTTTGAGGCCTGAAGGTATTGAGAGTATAGGGTTTTTTGGAACCTTTGATGTTCATTAGGGAGTAGTTCTGTTTCTGTGCCAGGCGATTTATCCACTTTACTTCATCCAGTTATTTTTTTTGTTTCCTTTGCAAGCTGCAGTCTTACTGTTTCCTACTTTCTCCTGCAACTGCTAATGTTTCTTATTCAGCTTTTCTTTCCCAGACAAGCTCCTAGGCTTTAGAAAATTTGGTTATCTCACTTCTGTGGGATTAAATTTAATGCAAGGGAAAATAGAGTATTATTTTTTTGTATTGGTGTTCTTTTTGGTTTATACAAAGGACTATAATTTTTTTAACAGTATTTTAGTATTGAAGTTGCATGAGTGGATAGGTTTTCCCCATAGGGAAAGGGGAAAAATCCCCTTCAAGCCAGTACTTAAAATAATTACAGTCTTGATGTCATGCTCTGTGCTTGCTTTTTTAATTTTTCTTATGATAGACAGTAAATTGTAAGTTAATTTTATTTCCTGTTTATATTCTGAATATTTCAGTGGTTTTCAGATAATTTTAAATAAATGTTTGGGTTTTTAAGTCTAGTGGCATCACTTCACAGTTTTGAGAGATGACTTCATAAAATTAGCAGAACTTTACATTTGGTGTCATATTTAAGCTAAATTACTGTTTAGGAAGAAAACGGGAAGTTACTCCCTGCAAGCCATCACTTACAGCAAACAGAAACTGTTACTTTATTTTTAGCTTGCATAGATTTGTCTGGTACTTGCTTTTTGTTGTGTTCCTCAGTCTCAGTTTATTTAAACCTCTCTAGTCCTTACATTGTAAACTTCCGAATCAAATAATGAGGGTAAGCTGGTGCTACAGCCAGGTGTCATGCATGCCTACTGAACAGATTAAAAGAAACTGAAATAGAAAAGGGAACTTGCACAGAAGGTCAGAGTGTTGTGGTAGTATTAATGAAACAACTATGTAGTATGTATAGGAAGGTACCAGGTTTCAGTTTAAGGCCAGAAGCAGACGAGACACCTGTACCAAGGTTACTTTGTGTGATTGATAGGAGGATTGCTGTTTGAAGGTTGGTAAATAAATTAGATACCTATCTGTGTACGTGTATTACGAGCCAGGCTGGCCATAACAGGTCATGGGGCACCACTGCGCAGCTGGGAGCAGTTGTTGTTTTCAAGCAGTGATACCACTGAGATGTTGCAGGTTGTCTACCAGAAGTCGTATTTTTGATGGATTCTCACTGGCCTTTCACAAGTATATTTTTTTCTGTTTCTTAATGAAAAGCATTTACTGGTTGTTCCAGTATTTCATTAAAGGGGATTGTAAGGAACATGCCTGACAAGCTTTACCCAGTTCATGAAAGTGGTAATTTTCATGATGAAGTTGAATTAATGGTGAATTAAATGATAAATGAAATTGTAAGATCATTTTTTTAAAAAACTACTCCCAAGGTCAAAGACAAATTCAGCTGTCACTTGTAACTAAAAAAAAATATTGCCAAGTCTATTGGGTCCTTTGTGGAATTGGAGCTGGCTCTGTCCGACATGGAGGCAGCTTCTGGTGTCTTCTCACCGAAGCCGTCCCTGCAGCCGCTCTCCCTGCCTCCAAACCTTGCCATGTAAATCCAACACACCAGGTAGGACGTTTGCCTCACAGTGAAGATATTTTAATGTTGAATTTTAATATGTCCTTAGCCGAAGGATGGTAACAACTGTCAAATGTGGCTGTGGCTTAGACAATAGAGTAGTGAAAGAGTGATCAAAACGTGCCTGACATCAGCACACAGTTTGATAGCGCAGTGCTTTTTGTAAGACTCCAACCTGAGATTGCCTGGAAGTATTTGCCAGGAACTAGTTTGACTGATAAGTGGACTTGAAGGACATTTAAATCAGTTTTCCAGGATTATTGCATGTGTAGCAAGTTTGACAGTTTTGGGAGAACTAGGTTTTCAGTAGAGTCGGTCTGGAAGTGTATAACAAACGCAGTGCTTTTGGGAATTATTGCACATGCCTTGTAGGTTTTGCAGAATGGATGTAATGAGCAGGGGCTGATGACCGGATGCCTGACTGTATACAGGCCCAGTAGGAGTTTCTGCTGCACATGTTGTGAGCCGCTGGTTACGTTGGGTCACAAAACCTCTGCAAATCCAGACAGCTGCAGAAAATCCTCAATTTGTATGAGCACGGTTTCTGAGTTTCTTAGCCTGTCCTACCACTTCACTGCTTGGACCATTCAGCTGAAGTGGGAACTTGTGCTTCTGACAACCCCTTGATTAATCAAAAGGATATAGTGGGCAGCTGGGGTGGTTGCTGGCATGCCCCTTTTTGGTAATCTGCTACATGGTAGAATGAAAAACTTACTTCTTTAACTGAAAAATCACATTTGACTCAAACCAGGGTAAAGTTGAGTGCAAATCTAAAATGTTCCTCATGACTTTGAGAACGGATAACACAATTGCAAACGTTTCTAAAAGATGTAGGGGAAAAAAATTGAGAATGATACTTAATGGAGTTGCACCTGACTTCACTTAGAGCTTTTCCTCTCTCTCTCTCAAGTTAGCACACTGAGTCAGCTGGGGAGGTGCCTGTCCTGGATTCTTTCTTTCATCATACCTCCTGCTGCACCTGGTAGAAAGTCTTGATGCAGAGTGTTTGTGTGTATGACTAATCTTATCCTTGAAGTCGTGGGTGGAAAAGGGGGAGGGCTCTAGACTTTTAATCTTTCTCCAATATTTTCTTTCTTTCTTGGAGATGCAAATATGGGTCAAGGTATCTTGCAAACTACCCTGTTGTATTGGACAGGCTGATTAACAAATGTTTGCCCGAGAGTGTGGTAAAATCTTCCTGTCCCTTTTTGTGACTTGCCAAGTATGTTAAGCTGCAAAGTCTTTCTCGTTTACCTATTTTTGGTGGTACAGACTCTGTTGCTCTGCACACCAACAGTCATGTTTTATACATGGTACCGAATGCGATAAATATGTAGTATTACAGGCATTGAATTAAGTCTAGCCACAATGAGGTCTGCAGTTTTGGGGGTAACTGACCTCCAACTTTTTTCCTAAGCTTACGATAACAGCAGACAGTAATCCATACCTACTTTTCAAGTATGAAGGGGGCTGTGGAATGAATATTTAAGCAAAACAAAACAAAAAAACCCCATTCCTTTAATCCATAGTTGTTTTTCTTCTCTCAGGATCAGGTGTATCCAATTCTTTTTAACACAACTGTAATAAAAGCATCATCTTGGGAAAGAATAACTCATTCAGTAATTCTCTCATACTTTAAGGGTATTTTTAATGTATAACATATAATTTAGAAGAAACATTTATATTGTATATTAAAGACTTTGTTGCAAATATTCCCTATTTGGTGCAATTTATGATGAGTTGTAGCACAACCTGCTAAAAAATTACTCCTTTATGTTTACTGATGTCAGTGTTAAGTGAAAAATTTCTCCTTTTAGTTCAGTAGTACAGTAACTGCACCAGTGATGACTCACCTGATGTTAAGACCACACAGATATATTGTTCTTCTTGAGAACACTTAAGATGGCTCAGAAGCTACTATTTACAGGCAAAGCAAAATAGTCGACAGCTAGTTTTTCATCCCCTTCTACCAACAGTTTGGATCGATTGGGCTCCAAGCTGACAATTATGTTTCATCTTTGGGAGTGCCTAAAGGATACCTTTAAGGTATGTGTGGTTTAGTGTGTCTCTCTTGGTAGTCTTTGAAAATAATGCTTCTCTTAACAAGTGAGCTGCTTGGAGACTGCTGGGCGATTTGGAAAGCATGCTTTCCGGTCAGAACACTCCTTTGTCATCTGTGGTGCAGGTAAGGCCTGTAAGTTAGGTAGCTGCAATGATTGTACATTGAATGCTGTTGATTGAAGGTAACCTGTAAAAACATGGGCTAAGCTGCTTTGCGTTTGCTCCAGGCTAGGAGCATGCACAGGGGTAGTTATTAACGGTTCAATTTCATTTTTCTTGTTAAGATGCTGTATGTTGGTTATAGACCTGAGGTTTGGAAAAAAAGAACCAGAGTTATCCTGTATAGTCTACGGACATTCATACATTATTAATAAATTTATTGATTTTTAAGACTTTTATTTTTATGAATTTGGGTGAGTCATTTCTATAGGAGTTGTTTTGTTTCTTTGTATTGCAAGAAATAATTTAAAAACTGCTGCTCATACTAATAAACAACAAAAAGCTTTATACTGACTCAAGGCGTAAACAGAATAGAGGTCTCAGCGGAGCATGTGACTGTTCAGGCATAACAAAATCAAAGCAGCTGGTTGAATAGCTTGGGTTTTTTTTAGTGCCAACCTTGCCAAGACATCTGTGCTTTATAAGACATTAAGGGGAGAGGTTGATTCAAGTAGTGTTGTTTCTGTGTACCAAATAGCGGTATGTTTTTGACAGCCTTGCTTTTGAATAAGGGGTCTGTACAATTTTTCATAGTCAAAAAGGCAGGATGCCATGTGACTGTCTCTTCCACTGCAATCTTTCTAAAATGCAAATTGTTTTAATAAGAGTCCATTTTTAATGTGGAGTGTCAATTTTATATCAGCGGTTCTCTTACCAAGCAGGAAGGTACTTTGGATTCATTGCAAACAATAGCACCAGCACTGAGTTTTGCCTTGTGAGAACCCGGGGAAAAATCTTTACTTTGGGGGTTTTAGATTAGCTGTTGTACTACTTAACGAAGAGGTGCACAAGGTAGTTGGTTTTTAGCTATGAATTTTGGAAATGTATACTAGAAGAGTATCCTGTGGTAGCTTCATGCACGCAACTTTGGAAAATCCCTTTTATAGTTGAAAATTGCCTCCAGCTAATTGTTTTGGTTATGTTTTATTTTCTTTTGGTTTCACAAACCTGCTTTTTATAATCCCATACTTAACCTAACTCCAGGCGACTGTGATAGCTTCTACAGAATCATAGAAAAGCTTGCTTTCTTAAAAGACTGAGGATTCTCTGAATTACTTGTGCTCAGATGAAGTTGGTGACACTTTTTCATAGGAATAATGCTTTAAAAATTAAGTATCCTAGCCAAAACAGTCATACACTACCTCACAGGACAATTGAGAAGAGGAGGAAAGCTGTTACTAATTGTTGTGAAATAGTGATGTTGCAATGAAGTTCTTTTTTTTTTAATTTTACATTTCCTTCATGTAAGAGCATGCACATAGTAGTTGCAGCAAGTGGATACGTGTAGTGACCCAAGTGACCGTGTAGTCTTATCCTGCTGTCATGTGAAGGTAATTCAAGGTAGTTAAGTGTAGTAGTCTGAAATAATCCTTGGAATTCAAATTTCTTAGTGATTTAAAAACTGTCTTACTGTAAATATTAGCAGTATGAAACATGTAAGTTTGAACTAATTATTTGTGGAACTTATAATTACAGGCCAAACTGTAAATTGTCGCTTTTCAGAGTTTCACAGACAAAGTTTCTGTAGCATCTGTTCTTGCAGGGTCGCTCGGGAAAGGTTTGTCTAACTGGGAAACCATTTCTTGAATAAAATGTGAAAAATTGAAGAAGTTCTGCATTTTCCCTTTTATTTAGTTAGTAGTGCCTATAATAGCCTCTTGGGAGCAGTGACTTTTTAATTGTGTGGGTTTTAGGTTTTATATTTTATCATATTCATTTGTTTTAAATTTGTGATCAGTTAACCTATGAATTCACTCAACTGGTTAGTCTATGGTGATGTGTTCTTTGGCTGTTTTGCAGTTATCTTGAAAGTGTGTTAAAAACACGTTACTTGTCTGTTAGCTGTTTGGGTAGGTAGCAGAATTAATACTTTTTTGGAAGGATGTGAACTTTTCCTGAGCTCTCAGCCAGAGCAGTACTAGCTAAATGTGTTTTGTAAGCTATCTACAAGGCACTGATCGGTTGACAAACAGAAAGGTAGAATGGGAATAATGGAGACTTGAGGAGAAAAGCCATGAAATTCTGAAAGCGAAAGCGGGAGGAAGAAGAGAGTAGATGGAAGAAAGACTAGGCCTGCTGGGTGAGGTTAGACCGACACGGTAAGGATTCAGAAAGAGAGGAGTGCAAAGAACCTTAACAGCAGGTGGAGAAAAGGACACAAAGTGTTATGTGAGTGGGCTTGTAGACCTTTCAGTTCAGTAAGTTAGAGATATATAGATATATAGATATATATACACACACCAAAGTTGGTATATTTTTAGTGGCATGCAACAAGGCAGACCTCAGGAAACCATGGCACTTTCAGAGGTGCATGAAATGCAGCATCTTAGCTTGTGGATCTTGCCAAGGTCTGAACTTGATGGGAATTGAGAGCCTCTGCTTTTGCAGAGGTTTTTATGAAGATTGTTTATTTTTATTATTATTTTTTATTCCAGTCCTTGACAAATTCATTGATCTCTGGGATACAGATGAAGAACATGTGTTATCTTGAAGATTACTCTCATGGGAAATGCGTGTCTTGGATTCCTCTAAAATAGCTGTGGTCGCGTGTATATACAACTTCAGCTGTTCGTTTTTTCTTTGGGTGGAGGAGTAACCTTACGGCTTTCCACTTTTTCTCAACATATTGTCTCTTTGTTGCTGTCTTCCACTTGAGCCATCCTTGACTCTGGCCTTCTGTACTCATTTGCTTG